TAGTTAAAATCTTATGTGAGCTTTGTAATCACAAAATGTTGGCTATAAGTCAAGTTTAACAAGTTTAAATGTATAAAAAGCAGACTTTTAGCATAATAAACTAGAGCTCTCTACATCATCCTGGTGTGCAGACTCTCATTTTCGCCGACTTCGTCCCTCACCTGCTCTTCACCAAGAAACCCCTCGAGTTTCTTGTCACAACCGTGGTCGGGTGGTCGGTGACACCACCACTCTCACTGGGGCTCCCGGGCATGCATCCTGTACCATCTGTGGGAGAAGCCGCTGTGCAGGTGACAAGAAGCAACAGGTGTGGGTGGGAGGGGCTACCCAGCGAGAGGCCACCATGGCTGCGCCTGGCCTGGCAAGGGGCTGACCACTCAGAAGGAGGCACCGTCTGTTATAGTCACAGGTTCACGTCAGTGGGCCAGATCTTACCCTGATGTCCTGTGAGGTGTAAGCTGACAGAGCAGACACAGACGGTGAGGGAGAGGACAGATTCAAGGCCAGGACTGCAGGCCTGGACGCTGAACACACAGGAAGGCTCACCTCCTGTTCTTCAAGGCCTCCTCCTCGGCTGTGTCTCTGTCTGCAGCCCCAGGACACTCAGCAGGGCTTTCTGCAGGACCAGCAGGGTCACTAGCTCTGCGTCCCTCACTGTGCCCGTCAGCATGGACCTGTGGCCTGGGTGAGGCGTTCTCCACACACTGGTTCACTACAGGTGGGCTGTGGACAAGCACCCCCTAAACCACTCTGATTAATGGTCAGAACCCACACCATGGGGCATCTTCTGGCCCCACAGACCCGGATGCAGGGGCACGAGGCCAACAAACAGCATTCAGTGATCAGGGTGCAGTTACAGCCTGTTATGTGAAATTCACTGTCACAGTGAACACGGAGCTACCCAGGGCTCATGTCAGTCACAGACATTTAAATTTAGTGAAATAGAGAAATCTGAAAGTGCCATAATGTCATGGTTCCTGGGGGTCCATGTTACCAGAGGGCAGAGTCTGATCGGGAGGGGCAGCGTAAGGAAAGAGGCTAGCCCCTCCCGACACCAGCAGCTCAGCCGTCCCACCAGGCCCTCCTGGGACAGAGTCAGGCTTTCTCAGTGGGTGCTGAGCCCCAGATCACCTCCCCCAGGGGGAGGGCTAGATGAGCCCACGGTGGCCATGCACCCCTCCTTCCTCCCTGCCTCCTGTTACACGGCTGAGGGTGCCAGGCAGGACACGATCCCCCAGGGTCCCTCCTCTGCCCCTGATTCTTGTTACACGGCTGAGGGTGCCATGCAGGGCACGATCCCCCAGGGTCCCTCCTCTCCTCTCCGCCTCCTGTTACACGGCTGAGGGTGCCAGGCAGGACACGATCCCCCAGGGTCCCCTCCTCTCCTCCTGTCTTCCTCCTCACGGCTGAGGGTGTGAAGCAGAACATGACAGGGCAGGACTCCCCCAGCTGCAGGTGGGGTCACTGTGAGTAGGGGCTGATGGGATGGCACTGATGATAGAAACACTGTGACGGTTGAAGCCTCACCACGTTCATGGCCACTGAGCCCAGTGCTACCCACAGCTCCGGCTGTTGGCTCCCTAGACAGTAAGTCTATGGAAGGAGACTCTCAATTCTTCCACCACAGAGCCATGGTGGATTCCAACCAACAGAGGTTCCCAACAGCCACAGTCATCAGCACAACATGACACAGTCAGGGCTACCAGAGCACCTTGATGGCTGACTACTGCTGTCTACTTGTGACTACTGGTGTCTATTAAGTCTACATTTTGGGGGACTATTGCTAAATAAGGGAGCTCTGGTGGCCTAGTGGCAAGAAGCTGCCCTGAAGTCCCAAAGACACGCAGTTCGAGGCCACCAGCTGCTCCACAGAAGAAGGATGGGCAATCTCCTCCTGTGTTATTAACTGCCTTTGAAAACATGCCAGAGGGTCAGCTATGGGTCAGTTCTGACTCTACAGTCCACAACAACAACACTGCTATATTAATTTATACATAGAGATAGAACTGATATATACAGAGAGCTCTGGTGGCCTGCTGGTAAGAAACTGTGCTGCAATCCCAAAGGTTTGTATCTACCAGTTGTTCTGGGATTAGGATGGGCAAGCTCCTCCTATGCAATAAACTACCTGTGGAAAAACCTGCTTAAAGGTAAGCTATGTATCCGTTCCAACTTGACGGGACACAACAGCTGATATATATTGGTCATTACAAGTGACTATTGTTATCTATTAATTTCTACTGGTGATTCTTGGCATGGCCTGTCCATCCCTTGGATCAAACTGTCTAGTCCCTGAGCTGCAGACGCTTTCAGACCCTGCCTCGCTGCAGAAGCCAGCTGGTCAAAGGCTGGTAATTCACAGACCGTCTCAGCAGGTGACTCCATGTCTTTCCCAAACACCCTTCCAGCACCCACCCAGAGTCAGACCCACCTAGAGACAGCACTTGAGCTGTGGACCTTTTCAGATCCTGCCTCACTGGTGGGCTTGCAAGTGGCTGGCAGAGAAGGCCTGTGGCCCTCGGACCAAAGGGGTGAGTAACACTAGCATTCAGGATCCGGGTATGGCATTGCTTTTGCCTGCAACATTATCCTGCTGTGCCAGCCATGCACTCTAACTCGAAGGCTCCATCAATCAGGTACAGGAATATAATGCTGGAGCAGAAGGTCAGAGACAAAGGCCTTCTTCCTGAATTGTCAGATAGAGTGGTGAAGAGTCAGGGAACCTGGCTGCACTACTCCACAGACAAAGGAGGACAACAGACTTCAGGAAAGTGGTCTGCAACCAGAAAACAGTAAGCCATCGAGCCCAG